GGTTGCTGGCAGATTAGCGGCCTTCCATAGGTTCCGCCAGGCCCCATATCGGCCATGGGCCCCCGTTACCGCCTGGTCACGCTGCTGCTGGTCCCACAGTGTGACCTGGGTCCCTGTACGGCCTCCCATTGCTTCCACTCTGCCATGTGTCCACTTTGAGGTCTCCTCACACTCCTGCGGTTGTCCATTTTGTCATAGGTTGCTGGCAGATTACAGGCCTTCCATAGGTGCCGCCAGGCCCCAAATCGGCCATGGGCCCCCGTACCGCCTGGTCACGCTGCTGCTGGGCCACAGTGTGACCTGGGTCCCTGTACGGCCTCCCATTGCTGCTGCCAGGAGGCAGCAGGGTCGCAGCTGTGTCAGTGGAGGCAAACGGCCACGGAGTAGAGCAGCAGCTCCACTGCAGCCTACCACCACAGCCAGTAGTGGTGCCGGTGTGCACGGAGGAAGTAGCAGTCAGCCAGTGAGGAGTAGCGGGTGCAAAGTTTCCTACTCGGCGGTGTGGCAATTTTTCGTCAAGCCGCCCGAGGAAGTAAAACGTAGCCGTATGTCGACTATGTGGCCAGAAAGTCAAGCGTGGCCAGGGGGCCCATGTTGGGACTACAGCGTTGCGTCAGCATATGCAGCGTCGCCATTCGGTGGCCTGGGAAAAACGTGATAAAGATACGGCGGTTCTGCCTGCCCCAGCCCAGGGTTCCATTTTGTCATAGGGTGCTGGCAGATTACGGGCCTCCCATAGGTGCCGCCAGGCCCCAAATCGGCCATGGGCCCCCGTACCGCCTGGTCACGCTGCTGCTTTGCCCACAGTGTGTGATCTGGGTCCCTGTACGGCCTCCCATTGCTTCCACTCTGCCATGTGCCACTTTGAGGTCTCCTCACACTCCTGCGGTTGTCCATTTTGTCATAGGTTGCTGGCAGATTACAGGCCTTCCATTGGTGCCGCCAGGCCCCATATCGGCCATGGGCCCCGTACCGCCTGGTCACGCTGCTGCTGAGCCCACAGTGTGACCTGGTCCCTGTACGGCCTCCCATTTGCTTCCACTGTGCCATGTGCCACTTTGAAATCTCCTCACACTCCTGCGGTTGTCCATTTTGTCATAGGTTGCTGGCAGATTAGCGGCCTTCCATAGGTGCCGCCAGGCCCCAAATATTTACAGGCCTTCCATTAGGTGCCGCCAGGCCCCATATCGGCCATGGGCCCCCGTACTCGCCTGGTCACGCTGCTGCTGAGCCCACAGTGTGACCTGGGTCCCTGTACCGCCTCCCATTGCTCCCACTCTGCCATGTGCCACTTTCAGGTCTTCTCCTCACACTCCTGCTGGTTTCCAATTTTGTCATAGGGTGCTGTATGGCCTTCCATTGCTGCTGGCTCCACCGCCACACTGTGGCTCCAAACTCTGGTTTTGGCCCCGTGACTGCCCAAATGAGTGAAGTGTGCGGTGATTCTAAGATCGACGGCACTCATTTCTGCATGTCATACTGCCTGACAGTATTATTTCTCTTCCCCAGCCAGACTCCAAGGGCATTTAAAATTAAAGGTACAGTGTTCTGCACTAATATTAAGTCTCTCTGAAGCCTAGAAACACCCTTTTATAAGTTAAATTCACAGCGAATATATTCGGCTCGAATCGAATATTGTCCACACGAATTCGCCGAATCAGTCGAATCGAATTTTTCATTTCTTCGCTCATCTCTATTGGTGACCATGGGAGAAGGACCCCTTATATCAGATGGTCAGTGTAATGGTCCCTTACATTGGTGACCGATGGGAGAAGGGATCCCCTTATATCAGTGGTCAGTGTAGTGGTCCCGTATATTGGTGACCAATGGGAGAAGGACCCCCTTATATCAGTGGTCAGTGTAGTGGTCCCTTACATTGGTGACCAATGGGAGAAGGACCCCTTATATCAGTGGTCAGTGTAGTGGTCCCGTATATTGGTGACCAATGGGAGAAGGACCCCCTTATATCAGTGGTACAGTGTAGTGGTCCCTTACATTGGTGACCAATGGGGAAGGACCACACTTATATCAGTGGTCATTGTATTTGTCCCTTACATTGGTGACCAATGGGAGAAGGAACCCTTATATCAGTGGTCAGTGTAGCGATCCCTTACATTGGTGACCAATGGGAGAAGGAACCCTTATATCAGTGGTCAGTGTAGCGATCCCTTACATTGGTGACCAATGGGAGAAGGACCCCCTTATATTCAGTGGTCAGTGTAGTGGTCCCTTACATTGGTGACCAATGGGAGAAGGACCCCCTTATATCAGTGGTCAGTGTAGCGATCCCTTACATTGGTGACCAATGGGAGAAGGACCCCCTTATATCAGTGGTCAGTGTAGTGGTCCCTTACATTGGTGGACCAATGGGAGAAGGACCCACTTATATCAGTGGTCATTGTATTTGTCCCATACATTGGTGACCAATGGGAAGAAGGAACCCTTATATCAGTGGTCAGTGTAGCGATCCCTTACATTGGTGACCAATGGGAAGAAGGAACACCCTTATATCAGTGGTCAGTGTAGCGATCCCTTACATTGGTGACCAATGGGAGAAGGACCCCTTATATCAGTGGTCATGTAGTGGTTGTCCCTTACAATTGGTTTGACCAATGGGAGAAGGACCCCCTTTATATCAGTGGTCAGTGTAGCGATCCCCTTACATTGGTGACCAATGGGGATAAGGGCCCCCTTATATCAGAGGTCAGTGTAGCGGTCCCTTACATTGGTGACAATGGGAGAAGGACCCCCTTATATCAGAGGTCAGTGTAGTGGTCCCTTACATTGGTGACCAATGGGAGAAGGAACCCTTATATCAGTGGTCAGTGTAGCGGTCCCTTACATTGGTGACCAATGGGAGAAGGAATCCTTATATCAGTGGTCAGTGTAGTGGTCCCTTACTATTGGTGACCAATGGGAGAAGGAACCCTTATATTCATCAGTGGTCAGTGTTATAGTGGTTCATTACATTGGTGATCACTGATGGGGGAGAGATCTGTGTATAAACAATACAGATCTCTTCCCCCGTCAGCTCCTGCGCACTGCTTTGTATGGCTCCCAATTTTGCATAGCAGTGTGCGCACAGTGAAGCACACACACAGCCCCCATAGTGAAACAGCACACAGTTAACCCTTTGATTGCCTCAGATGTTAACCCCTTCCTGCCCAGTGCCCATTAGTACAGTGTCGGGCTTTTTATTAGCACTGATCACTGTATTGGTGTCACTGGAGATGTCAGTGACACCAAGTCAGTTCCCTCCAGTGTCAGAATGCTCGCTGCAGTCCCACTATAAGTCACTGACCATTACTTGTATATAACAGGAAAATCCCAGTATCTACACCCGACCATTTGTAGGACGCTATAACTTTTGTTTCATAAACCAATTAAATTTACAAGTATGTTGGGGTATTATTTTTGTACGCCAAAGACATGGAGCAGAATTTTATTGTTTTTTGAAATTTATGATGAAATTTTTTTATTTTTTTTTAGGGAGGTTTTATTTTTAAATTTCATTAGGGTGCAGCTTGCATGATCCGCGGCAATTGTCAGTTAAAGTGCAAGAAAATCTTAATGCTGACAAGTCAGAATTGCTGTGTAATATTAATGACTTGTGGTGATGTAAATACTGGTAAACGCATGTCTGCCCCTCCCCAACAATCTCATGAGTCATTACAACTTAGAGGGCGCTATCCAGCAATTGAATGTTGCCTCTGAGAATTATAAAAGACTGTGTTACATATATTGGTCTGTTACAGCCGTACAACACTCAGGAGTCATTGGAGGATTGAGGGGTTCAGGAGCTCAATCTTGTAGAGACAATTCAGTGGTGCGAACAAAGAACAGAGGGCAGAAGTGAGAATATAACATCTCCATGAATCCAGATCTGATCGCTCTGCGTCTGCTAGACACTCCTCAACATCTTTCCCAATCCATACAAGTGCAAGGTTCTCTGCACTCAGTCAGCAACTAATAAAAGCCGTGCTGATGATGAAGATTCTAAAAATTCAGGCAGCTTTCACCCAGAAGAAAGCAGAAATGGAGGCTCAGGCCGCAGAAATGGAGGGCTCAGGCCACACAAAAGAAAGCAGAAATGGAGGCTCAGGCCACAGAAATGGAGGCTCATGCCGCAGAAATGGAGGCTCAGGCCGCAGAAATGGAGGCTCAGGTCGCAGAAATGGAGGCTCAGGCCGCAGAAATGGAGGCTCAGGCCACAGAAATGGAGGCTCAGGCCGCAGAAAATGGAGGCTCAGGTCGCAGAAATGGAGGCTCAGGCCACAGAAATGGAGGCTCAGGCCGCAGAAATGGAGGCTCAGGCCTCACAGAAATGGAGGCTCAGGCCGGCAGAAATGGAGGCTCAGGCCACAGAAATGGAGGCTCAGGCCGCACATAAGAAAGCAGAAATGGAGGCTCAGGCCACAGAAATGGCGGCTCAGGCCGCACATAAGAAAGCAGAATGGAGGCTCAGGCCACAGAAATGGAGAGCTCAGGCCGCAGTAAATGGAAGCTCAGGCCGCAGAAAGAATGTGGCGGCTCAGGGCCGCACATAAGAAAGCAGAAATGGAGGCTCAGGCCACAGAAATGGTGGCTCCAGGCCGCAGAAATGGAGGCTCAGGCCGCACATAAGAAAGCAGAAATGGAAGCTCAGGCTGCAAAAATGGAGGCTCAGGCCCGCAGAAATGGCAGCTCAGGCCGCACATAAGAAAGCAGAAATGGAAGCTCAGGCCGCAGAAATGGAGGCTCAGGCCGCAGAAATGGAGGCTCAGGCCGCAGAAATGGAGGCTCAGGCCACACATAAGAAAGCAGAGATGGAGGCTCAGGCCACAGAAATGGAAGCTCAGGCCACAGAAATGGAGGCTCAGGCTGCAGAAATGGAGGCTCAGGCCACACAAAAGGAAAGCAGAAATGGAGGCTCAGGCCGCAGAAATGGAGGCTCAGGCCGCACATAAGAAAGCAGAAAATGGCTAGGCTCAGGCCACAGAAATGGAGGCTCAGCCGCACATAAAGAAAAGCAGAAATGGAGGCTCAGGCCACAGAAATGGCGGCTCAGGCCGCACATAAGAAAGCAGAAATGGAGCTCAGGCCACAGAAATGGAGGCTCAGGCCGCAGAAATGGAAGCTCAGGCCGCAGAAATGGCGGCTCAGGCCGCACATAAGAAAGCAGAAATGGAGGCTCAGCCACAGAAATGGAGGCTCAGGCCGCAGAAATGGAGGCTCAGGCCGCACATAAGAAAGCAGAAATGGAAGCTCAGGCTGCAAAAATGGAGGCTCAGGCCGCAGAAATGGAGGGCTCAGGCCGCACATAAGAAAGCAGAAATGGACGCTCAGGCCGCAGAAATGGAGGCTCAGGCCGCAGAAATGGAGGCTCAGGCCGCAGAAATGGAGCTCAGGCCACACATAAGAAGCAGAGATGGAGGCTCAGGCCACAGAAATGGAAGCTCAGGCCACAGAAATGGAGGCTCAGGCTGCAGAAATGGAGGCTCAGGCCGCACAAAAAGAAAGCAGAAATGGAGGCTCAGGCCCGCAGAAATGGAGGCTCAGGCCGCAGAGAAAGAAGCTAAAGCTACCCACCCAAAAGGCAGAAATTGAAATACGCGGCTGCTCGGCGTCAAGGCCCAGCCGCATTTATGCGTCCTGTCAGTGTGAAGAGGTTATAGTGGTTCTAAAGTTTTCTTTGACATTAACGAATTCTAAGGTAAAAAACCTTCTGTGTCCCAGGATCCTCCCCAGCTCCCTGTGGGCGGGGTTACTCGCTCTGCAGGCAGGGGTACTGCTCCTCTTGTGTGCTCACTCATCAATGCCCAGGACCAGGTGGGGGTTTAATGTGAAAGTCAATGGTTAGGCAGAACCCTGGCCTACAGATGAGTTGTACACCATGTGCAGCTGTGTAATATACATCCCATGTCACTACACACCTTCCTCATTGTATGTAGCATTAGGAGGGACACACTGAGCCCATGTTCTCTCCACCAGCCCAGCGATACCTCTGCCCTCACCTCACTACCAGTGACAGAATGGGGTCCCCCCTGTACACCTAGGATGTATCTCATGTGTTCACTTCACTTCACTCCTCAGCTCTCCCATACCATGTGGCCAGGTACATGAGATCTCCATACCATGGGTTTGGTCCCAGATACTTCTGGGGAACTGACACTAGGAGAGAGGCAGAACACCAACCCCCTCACTCCAGAGAACCTGTCACCTCTGCCAGGTATGATGCTTATTGACCAGCTACTATACTATATGCTCCCTTGTTCTCCCTTTTCCTGGCCTACCAATCTGCATGCTTGGATAAGGGTCTGGTATGTATTTGGGGGGAGACCCTATTCTGTTTTTTAATTTTGTCATGGGGTTCCCCTCAAATCCATACAAGATCCAATAGGCTTGGTAAGGATTGGGGGGACCTCTATGCTGTTTTTTTATTATTTATTTTTTTTAAAACCGGCACTTGTTTTGTTTACATTCTGTTGACAGCGGGGAATCCCTCTGGCTGGCAGATGCAGCGGTCGCCTGCTTCTTAACAATCTACTTCCTAATGTATCTGAAAATGTTGTTAGAACTTTTTTGGATTCAGTCAGATTCATTATTATGTCTATTCGGATAGATGTACGCTGCCACTCCCTTTCTCTGTTGGGGTTCCCTCAAGGTTCTGTCCTTGGACCCCTTCTCTTCTCCATCTACATCTCCTCCTTTAGTAACTTGATAAACTCCCATGGCTTCAACTACCACCTCTATGCTGATGACACACAAATCTATCTTTCTACCCCCTCCACCTCACCCCCTCAGTCTCCTCCTCACCTCACCCCTTCAGTCTCCTCCTCACCTCACCCCTTCAGTCTCCTCCTCACCTCACCCCTTCAGTCTCCTCCTCACCTCACCCCTTCAGTCTCCTCCACACCTCGCCCCTTCAGTCTCCTCCTCACCTCACCCCCTTCAGTCTCCTCCACACCTCGCCCCTTCAGTCTCCTCCTCACCTCACCCTTCAGTCTCCTCCTCACCTCACCCCTTCAGTCTCCTCTTGCATTACTAACCTACTAAGTGACATATCGGCATGGATGTCACTCCACTTCCTCAAACTCAATCTTTCCAAAACTGAGCTCTTAGTATTCCCCCCAGCCCGTGCCCCCTCCCCTGACTTCTCCATCAAGATCAATAAAACAACCATAAGTCCCTCCCCTCATGCCAGGGTACTAGGTGTAATCCTAGACTCCCATCTGTCCTTTCAGCTCCAAATCCAATCACTGTCAAATCTTGTAGACTTAACCTCCGCAACATCTCCAAGATACGTCCCTTTGTTCCTAACCTCGGAAACCACTAAGCAACTTATTTCCCTCCCTTGTTATATCTCGCCTTGACTATTGTAACTCCCTCCTCATTGGCCGACCCCTCATCGCAGGCTATCCCCTCTTCAGTCTATCATGAATGCTGCTGCCAGACTCATCTCCACCTTACTAACCGTTCTGTATCTGCCTCCACCCCTCTCTGCCAATCCCTCCACTGGCTTCCACTCAGTGTCCCTCCACCCCTCTCTGCCAATCTCTCCACTGGTCTCCACTCAGTGTCCTCCACCCCTCTCTGCCAATCCCTCCACTGGCCTCCAATTGCCCAATGGATAAAATTCAAAACACTAACACTGATGTACAGTTTTGATGTTGAAAATAATAGCAGTCAGACATCACTAACCGGATCAATCACTGTTTTTGGTGGAAATGATATCTCTACATGGCAAATAATTTCCTAGCAGGTGTAGTAGAGTCATAGAAATCCAACAGACCCAACAGTCATGACATGCATGCTGCTGATTCTGTGTCATTGAATCACTCATTGAAAGGGGCGTGTTCAAAATAATAGCAGTGTGGAGTTCTATTAGTGAGGTCATTCATTCTTTGATAAACAGGTGGCAATTATTGCCCTTATTTAAGGAAGGAAGGCAGCAAATGTTGGACATGCTGGTTACAGTGCATTTCTCTCTGAAATTCTGAGGAA